CAGTGCCGCAACATCCACCCGGGCAGCCGGGGCAATGCCCCGGGGAACGGCCTCCATTCCTATTTTGTGGCCCCTATTTATAATTTTCACAATTTTTAATTTTTATATACCCAGCAATACCTACTGAATTGTGAGAATTTGTGACAACTATGTATACTGTGTAAGATAAAATTAATTTTAAAAATGTTTGTTCTATTACACTATTACAGTAATTATCAAAATATTGATGACTGAAAATTATTATAGTCCGGCATTGATTTATTATTATCGTTTGTTGGAATTTTAACGGGAATCCCGCTATTTACGTCACCACGACGGACTATCTAGCGATTTGTTTGTTTTGACTGTGACACGCCAGTACGCCACGCGCTGATAATCCTATATAACTATATAAGAACTATTCATACGACATACCGTGTATAAATACTATAAATTAATAATATGACGACTGCAAGTGTGGCTAGCATTGTAGGAACACTCGGAATAGTATTAAACAAAATCATCGCGTTCTTTCTTTGGCATTTGCGTACAGCGAGCATTGCGAGGTGCGACTGTGCGATTACCTATATAACTTATTAGTTATTAGTTATTTACTTAGTGACTAGTTTGACTTCTGTTCTTCACTATTATTGTATGTTGTACACTTGTACATTAATAATAATAATAATGGAATCTTCTCAACAACCGTTGAAAAAAATTAGATTGTCCGGTGGAGCAAGAAAAATGTTGAAACAGAAAGAAAAATCTATTAAAGGGAATAGAAGTATTTTGTCATTTATTCAATCTCCAGTTTCTGAAACTGTTATTTCAAACTCGAATTCTGTAGAATTCGAAGATAGTTCTTACCAACTTGAGTCAACGTCAATCCAAGGTAATTGTATGGCTGTATTTAATAAACTATAATTAATATAGAAATTTATATCATAGGTTAGTAAGAAATACATAATTATTGATGGTCACCATGAAATAGTTAATACTATTTTTAATATTCTCAAAATATTTATATTTTATTTATTTATAATTTTATTTAATATATTCAATAATTATATTGTATTTAATTATCAGTAATTTTTTTAAGAATTAAGTATTTAGACAAATATTGATTGGGTACAAATGTAACAGTTTATCTGGGTACAATTGTAACATTTTATATTAGGTTTAGGCAGTGGCGTACGCAGGATTTTAGTTCGGTAAGGGTTTTCAATATATGTTGATCAGTGACTCGTGGGGGGCTTCGCCCCCCACACCCCCCACTATATAGCTAAACTGATAAATATAACCAACATTATATAACACATAATAATTCTTTTAAAATAAATTCCTATTTATGTATTTAATCATCGAAATTCTTAAAATGATATAAAACATTAGATAATAATTATTAATTAGTATTTATAAAATATTAAAATATTATATACTATAAACAAAATAATAAAATAAGTGAACAATATATTCATGAATTATATTTATTTATAATAAATTATAGATTCAGTCTTAAATTTAATCTACGATTAGAATATTTAACCAAGTGATTTAGAACCTCTTCAGGTAATACACTTATATCTATATGGATGTTTAGTAACGCTAACCCATTTAATCGCGACTCACTTATTGTATTACGGAGATATGTTTTTAAGCGACGTAATGTAGAGAAAGATCTTTCTGCAGATGATGTAGTAATGGGCAATGTTACTAATATTTTTAACAATAAATAAATAGTTGGAAATAATATTTTATCACATGTAATAAGAGCATCTATAGGACTTTTTGGATTCATTTCATTTTGTTCCACAAATGTATACCATAATTTGAAATCTTCAGCAGTCATTAATTTACTTTTATTAATAAAAGATGAATACGTTTCATGAAGATCGATAAAACTTTTTTCTTGTTCTTTTGATGGGTTTTTTTGTTTTAGGAATCAAACAGGAAAAGTTTTTTAGAATAGTATTATGTGATGTGAGTCTTTCACGAAGCTGGAGCAAAAATGTGTCGAGAAATGGTATAAAAATTGACCGTAAAAAATGCTGCTCAACATTTTCAGCTGGAACATTATTCCTAGTTTTTTGGCGATTAATTTTTCTTGGAAGTGAAAAAACAGAAATACCAATTTGTTCACAAGTTTTCTTAACAGTTTCAAATAATTTCATAAATTCATTTTCACTGTTAATACGAAGTTGTTCAATTAAATTCTCAACACATGAAGCAGCATCTAATGCAGTTTTTAAATCTGAATTTTCTAGTTGCAAACTACGACTCAAACCAACACTAATAGATAGGACTTTAGTTAAAACGTAAAGAGAAACTTGAAATTGTAATTTTTTAATAGCACATAATAATTGATCTGCCTGAGATGATATATTACTAGAAATCCAAGAATATTCTTCAATAAATCCAGTACTTGAATTATTAGATAATATTTCTAACGCACTGACTACAGCGAGCTGCATCTCTTCATATAAAATAACAGCATCGTGGCGCTGTACCCAACGCGTTGGACACATTTGTTTCAACCTGCTAGCTTTAGAACTAGGAAACAAATCTTTAATACATCTTTGAAGCACCTCAAGTCGTTTTGGGTATCCAAAAAAATTACAAATTGATTGCATGGTACCTATCGTATTACGAATTTCCGGGATATTACAAGAATCAGAAATTACCAAATTCAGGCAATGAGCGCTACAATGGATGTAATAAGCTAGTGGATAAATTTCACGAATTCTAGTTTGTACACCTTTAAACTGTCCGCTCATAGCAGCAGCTCCGTCGTAACCTTGGCCGATCATAAATTTGGGGTTTATACCAAAACTTGAGATACTTTCTAAAATAGTATCAGCAAGACCTTTACCACTGACATCATTAACTTGTACAAATTGAAGAAAGTCTTCTCTTATCTTTTTTTCACCATCATCAAAATATCTTATACAAATTGAAAGTTGTTCCTTTGTAGATACATCCATTGTTTCGTCTGCTAATAAAGCAAAACATTCAGCATTATTAATTTGGTCCACTAATTTTTTTTAGAATAATATTGTTACAACTTGATATTATTTCATTCTGTACTCTAGGACTAATGTAAGTAGCATTTTTGGAAGCAGTATTTAGATGGTTTTCCAAATCGCAATCACCTGCATCAATTCTAAACTTCAAAAGAGCACGAAAATTACCTTCATTTAGTGTTTTATCATCTTTATTTGAATTATCAACTTTAGTTTGTAAAGATTTAAGACCATGATCAAAATGCCCTCTCAAAGCCAGTCCTTGTCGCCCACATAATAATACAGTTTTTTATAATTGGAAGTATTTTTTTACGATTTTCCAAAACTTCTTTT